TCTTTTGCCTCCTTAGGTAGGTGTACTATTAGGTATTTTATTCTTTTTGATGCAATAGTAAGTGGGATTGTTTCCTTAATTTCTCTTTCTGATAGTTCATTGTTAGTGTATAGAAATGGAACAGATTTCTGTATATTAGTTTTGTATCCTGCAACTTTTCCAAATTCATTGATGGACTCTAGTAGTTTTCTGGTAGTGTCTTTAAGATTTTCTCTGGATAGAGTCATGTCATCTGCAAACAGTGATGGTTTATTTCTTCCTTTCCAATCTGGATTCCTGATGAGCACTTCTGCAGACTCCAGTTGAATATGCCCAGTGATGGAAGGCTCACTCTCTACTGAAATGACCCATCCCCCTGAGTTGCTCAGAAGTTCCTCCTTGTATTAAGTTTGTTTCTATCTCTGGTGATTTCCAGCCATGGGTCTTGCCCTGTTGTCTGGAGTAACCCGGAGTGAGTATGTACCATCCTGCATCCACCCTGCTGAGTCCTTCCGAAGCCTAGGGTCCGCGTGTGAACCTCAGGTCATTGGTTAGGACTTCAGTACCTTCCACCTAGATTGTCCAATCACTTCTCTTCCCTAAAACCCTGCCCACCACTGCCCACAGCATCTTTCTAAATCCAGTGTTAGCACATCTCTCTATGGCTCAGGTGTTTAATGCAGCAGGCTCAGGCTTCCCTGCCTGATCTATTCAGAGCCCTTGGGACTAAGGATCAATCTGTTCCCTTGCCTTATTTGTAGAACTTTGTGTAGTTCCCAGCATAACGTGGGATGTGAAGGATGAGGAATGCCCCTTCTGAGGCTGCTGAGATACAACCTTGTGCTTACACTCTCATCTGGTGGCAGAATTAAGCGTAAGAAGTGGCCTCTGACCCAGTAGTTTCTGAGGCCAGTGAAAGAGGCGGCAAATGATGTTGGACGGTTTTATTATTCCAAACTGTGTATTAAAAGTTTAGCCTCTTCGAAGACCCAGCAATACTGCATCATGTATACAGGCCCATCCCCACCAGCTAACCAGTGGGAGAACAAGGGACTGAGATGATGGCCCCTCGTCCAGGCCAGTTTCATACACGAGGAAACTCTTCCCTGATGGCACACTGCAGCGTTTTCCAAGAATTTGCATCCCATCAGATGTGACTGGAGCCAAGTAAGAAAGCGTGTTCTAAAAGAATTCGGTCACCTGTGTCATCAACATATTTTCAGGTACAAAGGACAATTCATCTTGTTCTTGTCCATACTCATGTCACTTTTTGCAGTTGGTAATTTTTGGAATGCTTTCAGATATTTTAATGCAAGTCACTTTAATAATTACTTATAATTATTGATGTAACATCTGTCTCTGCCAGGCTCCGTGAGGAGAGGGCCTGTGCCTGTTTGACTCACCAGCATGTGACCAGTGTTGACAGATAAGAGGGGCTCAATACAATCTGTTGGGCCTGGTTTTATGATTGATTGATTGATTTTAAATGTAAATTGTCTTTAGGGCCTAATTTCAATATTTCTCATATAAGATTTTAGCGAAAAGTGTATTTTGTGTATTCTGTGGAGTGACTTCATATTCAGACTTCTTGGGCATTTATGATTCTGTGTCCCTTCCTTGGTTCCCACCTCCTGAAGTTCAGCCCTAGGTTGTTTCTAAAAGAATGAAAATCAAGGGCAATGTCACGTCCCTTAAATTTAATTCTAACACCAAATCTCAGGAAGTCACCGAAAGTCAAACTGTGTTTTTCGACATGTCCCGAGTATAGGCCGCATCAGTGTCTTTCTGAGCATTCCCTTTGTGGTCCCTGTCAGCAGGGGAGAGGTTCTCTTCTGCACACTTAAGACTGATTCCTTTGAGGATGGTGGGTGCTGACTTCCAACTGAAACACAGCCTCATCCCCTGCTCAGTCTAATGGGATGGGGAAGGGCAGGCAGTGAGTGAGTCCCTCCTCCTGTGGAAAGATGTCCATTCATTTGCTGTTCATTCAAAATGAACAGGTTCTAGGGCGACAGAAATGAAAGAAACCGAATGTGCCTTCAAGGGTCTCACCATAGAGGCAACACTGAGAAGGGACAGACAGACCAGTGAGTAATCAGGTGTGGTAGAGAATGTTTCAAAAATATGCTGTTCTCTGACGCGTGCACTTGTTATTCAGGGTTTACTTAAAGTATCCTGCAGGTGTTCTTTGGTGAGAAGATTCTAGAGGGGTCAAAAGTCCACTAGAATATTCCCGGATATGAGTCTCTGATGTTGGTTTGACTTCTAGGCAGAGAAAGCTAAGCCCAGGTCACGCGGACCAAAGACTCATTTAGACCTTGGTTCTCCATACACATTCCATATTCTTATCTATGTGAAAACAGAATCACGTGTTCATAACAGTATTTTTAATAGCCTAAGTGGTAAAGGACCTAAATGGTCATGAACAGGAGAATGGATGAAAGGTGATAGTGAAAATGGAGGGATCAGAACACAGTGCTGAGAGATAGAAGAAAGTTTCAGAACACATGCAGTAAGATTGCAAAAAAAAAAATCAAGAAAACACGACCATGCGTTGCCTTAGGGGTACACACGTGTATAGTAGAAATATAAAGAAATGGATGGAACAATAAATTACACATTGTGGGGTAGGGAGCTAGAAACAGGGTGGGCACACCGAAGCTTTGTCTCTACTGGGAATGTCTTATTCCTTAAGCTGTAGGATTGTAGGTACACAGGTGTTGACCGCACTGTTCTTTATATCTTTTCTAATGACTTAAATATTCAAAAATAATTTTTTAAAAAGTTTTGGCAAAAATTCCTCATAAGTTCTTTTTCTCTTGCTCAAAGGGCACAGTACTGATCAAGAGAAGGTGCCTAGCCTGCTGAGGGGGACATCTGTGTCCCTGAAACCAAGCCAAAGGCAGGGACTTGCACTTAGGCTAACAGATTTGCTATGCTGGTAGCGGATAGCATTATCTGGAACTTACGAATAGAATTTTTAAGAAAGATTTTACTTTATTGGGGTAAACACACTTAACATGAGATCTTCCCTCTTAACAAAATTTTAAGTGTACGTATGTTATTGCTGACTATAGGTACAATGTTGTACAGCAGATGTCTAGAGCTTATTCAACCTCTTTTACTGAAACTTTATGTCCTTTAATTAGTAACTCCCGTTCTATGAACTTGACTATTTTAGGTACCTCATGTAAGTGGAATTAAACAGTATTTACCTTCCTGCAACTGGCTTATATTTCACTTGGCATAAATGTCCTCAAGGTTCATCCATGTTGCTACAAGTTGCAGAAGTTCCTTCTTTTTAAATCAAGGGTGAATAGTATTCTGTTGCATGTGTCATATCTTCTTTGTCCATTCATCTGTCAGTGGACATTTCGGTTGCTTCCACATTTTAGTCATTGTGCATGGTGCTGCTATGAACATGGGGGTGCTGTGTCCTCTTCCAGATCCTGATTGCAATTCTTTTGGGTAAATACCCAGAAGTGGGACTGCTGGACCATATGGTAGTTCTATTCTT